TGAAGAATAAAATTCTTAATTGCATTTATTTACAATAGTTAATTCTTATTAAAATATTCAGTATTAAACTAAAATACGAAGAAGGATTTATAGGAAGATGTGTTTAAATTATCAATTTAAATTTATGTAATGCGAATTTTAATTAATTTGATATCTGCAAATTAAATTTAAAGATCTCATTTCTCACTTAACATGCTTTTCATATTCTTCTCCAAGTTCTTATCACTTTCCTCTTATTTCAGATCATCAAATCTTTTCTCTTCTTAATTCGAAGTTTAGACTATTTACAAAAAGTCAAAATAACTTTTGAGTCTATCTTTATCCTTTTTTACACCACCACAGAAAGAAGAACCTTCTTAATCCAATGGTTACCCCGGATAAAACAAAGTGCATCAAAGAGAACCAAAAAGGAAAAAGATGTTGTCCCCCTCAGTTTATCTAGTTTTTTCCTCTTTTTTTTCTTCTTCCTGCACATCTTACACAACCTTTCTCCAATCAGGGTGCTCTAAGAAGATGGTTTGGTTGACACTCATCAGACGCACACCTGGCAAGTCAATTATCGCTTCACCATTATCGCTTCTTGCAATAATGTCCAAACGAGGTGTAACAATGGCTCAGTTATCATGAAGTTATTAAATGTTAAATTTATGAAATAATAACAGTTTCAATGTAAATTATATGAATCTGTCAAAATGTTTTATCGTATACTATAAGAATATGATAAAAATTTTATTTATTTATTTTTCGATTCTAGTGGATAACACCACTGAATACTGTACTAGTAGTTGGTCACGGGTTCAAGCTTCGTCATTTTACTTTTCCGGTTCTGTTATATATAACAGGGAAAGTATGGCGATTGGTCGAAAGTTGACCCCAAGATTTTTGCATTTTTGGACTCAGGGGACCTTGAAACATCGAGAAATGCAAAAAACATTGAAGATTTTGTCTGTATGCATGGATGTTAGTGTGAAGCACAATTTTGTTCACCCCTCTTTTTTGAGGCTTAATAACTCCTGTGCTTTTTGTCGAAAATTTCTGAAATTTTGCTGGGAGATTTGTGTATTAGGGGAATTGATGCAATTAAATTTTGATTATTAAAGGTCGAGGAGTGGAAAGATAGAGGGGGTCGTGTATCGTATCTCGAGCGGGATCAGACTTTTACTCGTTATTAGTATTTACAATTTTTTTACAAAACTCATTTCTATCCTCAAAATTAAGCTTTTTGCCATTTTATAATAATTAAAAATATAAAACGTTTTTTTGGTAAAATATCATAACAGATGGTGCCACACACAATTTTAAATGTTGCCAGGAAAGTTAAGCAACTCTTTGCCAGATATATATATATATATTTTGTTTTGTGGCCGGCGAAGTTTTTCAGATTTTTTTCACGGGTCTAACACCTAAATACAGGCCAATTTTCCACAGAAAGTCTTCCCGGGAGGAACCCCCTTGGCAGATTTCTCAAGTTTTGTGTTGCCTTATCCTATCAAACAACTAGCTATACATACGATTATAAATGAAATATATCTTAATATTATGTTCTCGTGATTAATTTGATGAAATTATACATAGTCTACATATACACAAAATATAGACTATATACAACTTTAAGATATTACTTTATATTCTGAATAATTTTACTAGAATCATATAATTTCCATGAGAATTATCTGGTATTAAACTTCGAATTCTCATACATATTTAAATCAAAATTTATACATATTTTTTTAATTTTTCGAGTGAATCCATTTAATTTTAATTAAATTATAATCGCCTGTTAANTATAGACTATATACAACTTTAAGATATTACTTTATATTCTGAATAATTTTACTAGAATCATATAATTTCCATGAGAATTATCTGGTATTAAACTTCGAATTCTCATACATATTTAAATCAAAATTTATACATATTTTTTTAATTTTTCGAGTGAATCCATTTAATTTTAATTAAATTATAATCGCCTGTTAAAAATATTTAAAGGAGGGTGCAGAAAAGAAACAATATGCCTCATCAAAGTTCTTTTACTACCTGAGTACCCGGCTTTTTTCGAGACAAACTCTCAGAAGAGGGTACAGCTGCGAGCCTATCTCCCTAAATTCGCTCCTCACCAGCAAATTTCTGTATATTATTATCTTTTTATATATTAATCACTATAGGAGACTTTAACATTTCTGAAGTAATCGTTAAAGAAAGAAAAATATTATCTATCAGTTTTATAAAGTAACTGCAATCATAAACTAATTAAATTAAAATTTTCTTTTTATCAAATTTTCCTCTGGGCTTCTCGTTAAAAATATATTTAAAATTGATTTTATTTCAGGAAAAATAATAAATTTGATAATTTAAGATATTATTTAATTATAATGATAAATTTTAAAGTCATTAATAAGTTTCATAAATATAAAATTAAAATGACGATGTCATTATTTTCCATTTTACGTTGATACTTAATTAATGATTATTAAGTGAAGAAAAACGAATAATAAATTAGTAAATAAAGACTATTTACTAATTTATTATTCATTTTTCTTCATTTATTAAAGAATAAATAAAAATATTATTTTAAAGCAATATCTTACAGATTCATTTAAATATTGTAGAATACTGTGTATTTATTTATTGTGTATTTGTTCGCGGGTTCGTATCTGATTAATGGACTGGCTCGCGGATTTTTGATTTTCTTCACGTTCCTAACAACTAAATAGGGGCCAAATTCCTTGAAAGCCCTCCAGAGAGGCATCGTCTCTTCGTAGATTGTCGATGTATTACGTTTTGTTACCCAAACAATTCAATTCAATATGTAGGCCTATTTATTATAAGATAAACAACTTTGTTTAATTAATTGAATTCATATCTATAAATACACAATAATGCAAATGTTTAAAAATAATGAGCAATTATTTATTATGATATCGTCACAATGCTTGGCTGAAATTTTTCGTCTGAATGTTCACAAATTTTTTAGTAGTGTCTTGCCCCTGTATGTTATATTATTCCTGTTAGTAACAGAATCGTGCCGGTCATCTATCTAACTCCTTTCAGGATAAAATTTCTGAATTGACATAATGTGACTTCCGGTGCAAAACGGACGTTCGTATAAAGTTAGTCTGGTCCTACTAATCCTAAACTTTCCATATTTATCTCGAATTTCATCTATCTTACACCATTCTTGAGATTAAGAAAGACAGACAGACTACAGTGGGAATTTATAGGTCTACAATTTTTCAAATTGCAGCCCAAAATACTCAATCAAAATAACGTTTAATGCATTATATAGGAATAGGCATAAGAACATATATAGGAATATGTATGTATATGTCAAGTCTACAGTTCTGTATTTATTTTATAAATACATAAATATTAAATTAAAATAAAATACTTCGTATGAATTGTCAATATTCCTATATCTATAGAATTTATTTGTAATATAGTATGTCCCCTAAGTCTGGAACCACAGTAGTTATTTTGATGGTAGGAATCGCAGTTACCATGAAGAGGTTGCATCCAGACTTTCCAAATTACGCGCAGAGATTTGGATGCTTCCCATTAAATTCTTCAGCAGCTTCACGCTAGCTGCGGGTCCTATCATCAAAATAATTCGACTTATTTGGCACCATGTGTAATATTATCTCTATGGCTTAGTAATATGTTTATTAAAAATTTTCTATACATAAATATATACATGTTTAACAAGTATATTTCTTTGTAGTGGTACATATTTTTGTTTTCTTTTCGTAAATTTTAAACATATTTATTGTCATCAAAGCTATGGTTTTATGAGCATTAATAACGAATAAACCATAAAAATATTCATTTAAAACAAGAAAAATTATCTTTAATAAATTAAGAATATCAACATCGACGTTTTTATATATAAGAGATTATATCCGACAGAAAAAAAGTAATTGGATAAATATAATTTTATAAAGGGCTTACTTTTAAATTAATGAAGATAAATAAAAAATATTAAATTAAAAAGTAGATTGCACTTGTTTAACGCTAAACAGGAATAAAAAACTTCCAACTAAACGTGTTATGAAAAATGTCTTGTGATAAATTCAATATACTTAAATAGATCATATAACACACTGTTTTATGTTAAATTCCAGCTTTATACGACTTTAATTTTCCAAAAACTACTTAAAAACTTTATAGTTACATAATATTAAAACAGTAAATATTTCTTACCTTTACGTTTGGTAAAGGTGTTTGGAAAATGTCGATAGGTGTTGCTTTAATTTTAAATTTTTTTACATGTTTTACTTCTTTTCTGCACCTATTGAGTCTCAAATATTACTAAATAAACTCTTAACTAGTTCTTCTCATTAATCCTCTTCTAGCTCCAAAATAAAATAGTAATAAAATTATTTACTCTCTGTGCGAGAGACATTTTTAAAAATTCATTTATGTTACGCGTATTTTTAAACTCAATATAGAACAAAAACTGTATTTTAAACGTAAAATATTGAACAATTCATTATATATTATAAATAAAAAAGAGTTCGACTAATATAATATTTCTAGACATAAAATTTATACTGATTATCTTTTAATATAAAATCGACAAACTGAAATTTTTCAATTTATTTTTATATCAATTGCGGAAGAGAAAGCTCGTGATTAAAGGAATAAATTTAGAACTTTAAGTTTTTCTACTTAAATAAATTTATTGTATTATTTTTTTCCATAAAAAAGACATTCTTAAAGTTAAATAAATGAAAAAAATTTCAAACGTAATTTACGTCACTATTTTTTTTCGGTTATTAATAGACATGAATATATCGTACCGTATCGATCTGAAATAAAAGCGAAAAATTGACTCAAAGACAAAGAATACAACCAATTAAAAGTTTTATGGAATTCTCTTTAACTTTATCCAACACCTGTTTCGATCATTTGAACGGTCAAGATAACAAATTTTGTACAATTACAAACTTTATTACAGAATAAAAATATCTAAGATTTCTTATTTTTTTATTTCTTATTTTCAGAAAGAAATGGCAAGATTATTTGGAAGCAAGAATTTCTCGTTACAGAAGATTAAAATCGCTTGAAATCTTCAGGAATGTCGTCATTGCAGACATCATCGTAACTTAAAACCATGTATTTTCCATTCATCGAAATGAATAATTCTTGGACGCTTCCCGAAGAACAGATTTTCCTGATGAATCTAACATTCCTTACGGACACATATTTGTGGCCTCTGAATAATACTCATAATCTAACCTATTACATCAATGAGACACACGATTCGAATTCTTCTGTTGAAAATTATTTTACAGATACTAATTTAATGTTTATGGCTTTCACATCTGTAGCGTTAGGTGTGGTTATTTCGGCTACTGTAGTTGGTAACGTGTTTGTCATAGCAGCTATATTTTTGGAAAGAAATCTGCAAACGGTTGGCAACGGTTTAGTATTATCTTTAGCAGTTGCCGATTTAATGGTTGCTTGTTTAGTCATGCCTTTGGGTGCTGTATATGAAGTTCGTCAAGAATGGACACTTGGACCCGAATTATGTGATGTATGGACGTCTTGTGATGTATTGTGCTGTACGGCTTCCATCCTTCATTTATTGGCTATAGCTGTAGACAGATACTGGGCTGTAACGCATGTCGATTATGTAAGACAAAGAAACATTCGTCATATCAGTGTCATGATTATAATCGTATGGGGGGTGGCTTTTGTCGTTTCTGTTGCCCCAGTTTTCGGGTGGAAAGATCCAGATTTTCATCAGAGAGTCGAAATCGAAAAGCGTTGTTTGGTTAGTCAAGATGCAGCTTACCAAATCTTCGCCACCTGTTCGACATTTTATGTACCACTAGTTGCTATTTTTGTTCTTTACGGAAGAATATATCGAGTTGCCAGAAAGCGGATACGTAATAAACCCGGAAGCAGAAGTGTACCGGTATTAGGAAAGGCTTCCAAAACCTCCGTATCACCAGTAATGACAGAATTAACAGTTGTAACAACAACAACATCGTCATCTCATCACAGTTCCGATTTTAACTGTGCCACTAATGGAATGACTGATCATCAAGACATTACGGCACCTATTCTACCTAAAAAAAAGAGGAAGAAGAGAAAAGAGTGCTTGGAGTTAAAACGAGAAAAGAAAGCAGCAAAGACATTGGCTATTATTACAGGAGTGTTTGTTGTATGCTGGTTGCCGTTTTTCGTGACAGCTCTCCTTATGCCTCTGTGCCAGTTATGTCAGCCAGAAGATTACGTCTTCAGCATATTCCTCTGGCTAGGATATGCCAATTCCATGATAAATCCAATTATCTATACCATCTTCAGTCCAGATTTCCGTAATGCATTTACTCGTATCTTATGCGGAGAAAAGAGATCGACGTATAGAAGATGAGATCGAAAAGTTTTGTGAAAAAGTGATACCGGCACAGATCAATCTTGGAAGTACTTTAAGTCGAATGTTGAGACAGGTGAGTGACCAGTTGTCAGGAGCTGAATCATCGAGGCGTTTGTTGAGCAAGAGAATCGTTTGCCTTGCACTGGTAATCGATAAATAGTACCTTAGGAAGAGACTGTTGCAGGCGACTGTCTGTCTATAAGGGGCTAAGAAGTTATACAGTCAGGTTAAGTGACTATCCATTTACTCTGAAATTGAAAGCAAAATGTATTTGAAGTAGATCTTTATAAAATTATTTATTAATTAAAATTTGTCGTCAATAGATAAAAAACGAATATAAACTATAGAGATCTTGTTATAAAGTCGGAATAAACATATGTTAAATTTGTTGTAAGCATTTAAAACTGTAATATTCCAGGCTTTATAATGTGAATGGTGATAAATATACTCGTATTTAAATATTAAAGAGTAAAATTATTCCATTAAAAAACGCAACAATAAATTTTAATTTTCGATTTGTTTTTATATTGTTGTATCAAAAATAACTCATTTATTGCATTTGAAAGTAACATAAATAATTTTAAAATTATTTCACTTTTTAGAGATAGAAAGCATTCGTATATATCAGCAGATCGATTACTAGCGAGCTTCTAAACATTTACATAAAGATAAATGCATCAATTCTCGAGAACGAAATACTTAATCTGATTAATATCATATCCATTTATCAGCCTGTTACACCTGTTTATTTATTACATTTCACCTGCCTTCACCAGAAAAGAGAGTTGGAAATACTTTTAGAATGTTAAATCCTTAGCAGCAAGCGCATTTAAATGAAATCGTTTCAGTTTCCGACTCACTAAGATAGATATTCTTCTATACTTTACTAAGATAGATATCTTATTTGCTCGAAAATTATTCATATTTTGATTAATAAAGGGATTTTATGGTGGTACTTGATCAGAAAAGATGACAAGAGAACTCGAATTAAAAAGATTAATAGCGCTAAAATATTTAGAATGTAAATTAATGAAACGTGAGCGTTAAATTTTCTGAATTACTTTATAGTAGATTTATCGAATATAAATTTTAATTATATTTTACTATTGCATTATTTTAACATTTTGTTTAACGATGAGAGTTATTATATAGGATGCTTTAAAAAAATGTTAAAACTTATATGAAGGTACGCATTCATTGCTGCAGGAGTAGGAGGATCATACCTTTTTTGAGAACTCCACAATTGGACGGTGATTTCTTGTACAGGATAGAGAACTACACAAAGGACAACTTGCCACTAAAAAAATTACTTGCATTACACGTTACACATTACTTTCATTACAAGTTACTATTGTCACAAATTACTTTCATTTCATGTTATTTCATTTATAGTTATTTGAAACACCCTGTATAAGATCTAGATTAAAGCTCATTAATTCAGTATAACACTGCTATTTCATAATAAAAATAAAAACATTCATTATTACAGTAGTCTAATTTTAAAATAATATTTTTTTACTTAAAAGCATGGGCGTCCGCAAAGGGGGGGGGCAAACGGAGCACTTGTCCTTCCCTGGGATCGAGTAAAAAAATTCCACAAATTATAATCGTAAAAGTAATTGAAATATGAAACTTCACACCCTCGACCATGGGACGACTTATCCGTCTTTTTGTATTCATATAATATTGTATTCTACAATTCACCTGTGAAAATACCCCAATAATTAAGTAATTAAATAAAAATGTATTGATGTAATAATTTGTCTCTGAGAGCAGATCCTCTATGGAAAATTATTTTTATTTTATACGTAAAAGATTTAATTTTAGGTATGAGAAGTTATTTTATATACAAAATTAACCTATTTATGTATAAAATAATAATAAAACATGGACAAATGTTTTGTGGAGTATCCAGTTGTATTTATTTAAAACGTGTGAAAAAAATCCGTGTTTATCTTCAGGTTAAATTAATTTTATTTAAAAATATTCAAGACAAATGTTTAAAATAATTCAAAATTTGAAATATCTTTTAATTTTATAAAGACCACCTTTCAATAATGGCCATTTTTCAATAATTCTTTTCTAAACAAAAATGTATACAGAAAAACTAGCCGTTGTTTGTTGGATAATGTTGCCATCAGTAGCCGTTGTTCATAGGTTTGACTGTATTTAACTTTAAGAATGTTACATTAAAATTTATTTAATGTTAATTATTAATAACACATTTTAAAACATGATTTAGGTGATGTATAAATTTTTAAAAAGTATACATTTTTTTTCCTAAATAATTACTGTACATGGAGATTTTAAAAATTTAAGCAAAATTAGCATTAAATGTCTAATAATATAATATAAACATAAATAAATAAATATAAAATAATATAATTAAATTAATTATCTAAGAGTTTACTTTTTATTTATAGTCGCACCCAGTACCATGAAGTTCTAATTCGCTCTCCCTCCTACTAATATTGATTCTAGTTACACTACTGATGACATATTATTATTATTATTAAAATTTAAAATCTCCTAGTTAAATATGTTTTTTTTTCATTTATTCATAATTATTAATAATCGCACTTCAACTTATTATCTACAAGTTTTTGAGAGCAAATGAAAGCAGGAATAATTTCTGAATACATGTTTATAATTTTAAAAAAAAATCTTCATAAAACGGAAAAGTAATTTTTAAATATTTACGTTTATGTAAGAAGTAAGTTTATAAATAAAAAATTTCCATAAATCTATATCGTCCATCGATGACCGAGTGGATGACGCCACTAGCCAGTGATATTCGGTCGCAGGTTTGCGCCTCGCTAATGGGCTGGCCGAGTGGGATTTTTCGGGTTTTTTTTTTACGTATCTAACAATTAAATAGAGGCCAATATACCATAAAACGTCTTCCCAGGAGGCACTCCGCTTTGGCAGATCGCCCATGTATTGCATTACCTAACCCACTAATCTGATCCATAAATCTATACTAATATTTCTTCAATAAATTCAATTTAAATGTTACATTAGTCTACAATTAGAAAATTTACATTTTCTAATTGTAGACTAATTAAAAATGTTATTTTCAATTTACCTGGATATGTTAAAGAGCACCTTTTTATTATATATTTACTACATTTCCAAAGGAATATATAAAGAAAACTTCGAATATCCGCACTAGTATTCATCGAGCGAGAAAGTGGGTTTTATATAGACTATATCATAAAAAAAAAGATCATGTTATATAGATTACAGAATTAGCATTTATAAATATTGAACAAATACAATCAAACTCTGAAAAGTTAAAGTTCCTCACAAAAACGACATTAAGAGAACATATTCAACTCGAGAAAAAACTCTCTAAATTCCGGTTTCAGCTTCCTTTTCCCTTTTTTTATCCAGAAGAGATCTGTCGTTTATCCCTTGTAAACCTTTCTTTTATAAGTGTTCTGTGATTTCAGATTCGATTATTCTGTAGCCAGGAGATCGAGCGGAACATAAATATTACAGTTTTCAAGTTTAAACATTATTTTGCTGCACAATAACTTTAAAATAATGTATATTCAATATACACAACATCATCACAATTCTACAAGTTACAATATATATAAAATGCGATAATTCACGATAATTATTGAATATTAAATTAAGATTTAGCATATCAATTTTCTAAATTATAACCATATTTACTAAATTTTTCTTTATATAAGAAATATAATTTTCCAATACTTTATATGTCACTAAACTCTTGAACAAGCTAAACACGAAGAAAAAATGTTTATAAATATAATTTATTGGTTCTAATTTCTAAAGATTATCTTTATTTCTATAAAAGTATTAAATATATATAAACCATCGTGTTTTAAAAAATTTGTCATGAATAGATCAGTCAAAAACTGGTCCCTCAGCCAGTGGCGTATGCAGGATTTTGAGAATATGGGTGCTGCTCAAGGCAGATACAGTGGGGAGGGGGGCAAGGTACATATCCTTGTCGTATTTTGCAGAATAATACTGAATTACCCTAGAATTATTTTACTTACCTAATTGAAGACAAACGATATGCATTATTATATTTATTTTTATTTTAAAATAACAAAACTGATTGCTTTTGTATCAATGGGGTGCTGCAGCACCATAAGCGTCCTCTCGGATACGCCCTTTCATCACTGATCGAAGGATAAAACCACTGACATAAGTCATGGGTTTGCATCCGACCAACTGGCTCTTCACGTAGAGTTAGTTTTCCAGGTTTTCTTCACGTGTCTAACACCTAAATAAGGGTCAGTCTCCCGTTTCCGGGTTTTCTTCTCAGATTTAACAGCTAAACAGAAAGTCCTTCCGGGAATCACTTCCTTGGCATATCGCTTATGTTTTGCGTTGCCTTATTCCATCAATCCAATAAAAACTGGGTCTAAAATTTATATCAAATACCACATCTTTCATTTCTGCTGAATATTAATTAATGTAAAGCATCAAATCTTAATAAAAAAAAATGTACTGAAAGTATCAAGCTTTTGATTCTTTTAAATTTAATAAACTAAAACAGAAATTAACTCTGTAGTAACATTATTTAAATCATTTCTCGTGTTACTTTATAAAATATTTACCTTATCTCTGAGTTATTTTTATTGATTTTTAAGGCTAACGAATTTAGTAAATGATGGGTTTAATTACATAAACAAAATGCTAATAAAAATTCCTTTTCCTGTAAATTTCTCAAATGGATTTGCAAATTAAATAACCAGAAAAGAAAATTAGATAATGTTAATAACGCATCCAAAGTAGTTTTAAAATTATATATTTGGTTTTATTTTTTTACATTTCCTTTGGAACATTTATAAATATTTTTAAAAAAATGTAAATGTAGCTTTCAATGTTTTTGCAATATTTTATATAAACTTTTTTTTATTTTCAAATTTTTTCTGTTTTATAACATTATATAATGAGGGAAAAAAATGATAAAGCAGAAAAATTTCAAAATAATCCTGTTTTGAACTTGGTAACATGCCAAAAACAGCAAAAACACTTATTGAATAACACTATCCAATACAAAGTGCAACAATTTTTATTATGCAATAACTTTTATTTTTTAAAATCATTTATTATTAAAAATCTTAATTTTCTATATTATTTTATTTTTTGAATTAATATTTAAATTAATATAATTATACGATTTTTTCCTCATCTTTCAAATACACTCGAGTCAACAGTAACCGTGTGGATAAAAATAAATAATCACTGGTGATTAGTCGTGGGTTCGCACCTGACCAACCGGCTGTCCACATGCACATGAAGTTCTCCGGGATTTCTTCACGTTTCTAGCACCTAAATGGGGACCAGTTTGCTATAGAAAATCTTCCCGGATGACAGATCGTCCAAATGGTTTATTGTGTTCTTCCATCAATCTAATCCAAATACACCTGTCTCGTTTTCAAACATCG